CAGGCTCCCCGGTCCGCCAGCCCCGCGGCTGCAGTTCCCAGACAATGGAGCGGGAGCGCGGGGGTGGGAGGGAGCGGAGCGGAGCGCGGCACACGGGCTGCCCCCTGCGCCGCGCCGGGTCCTAGTGCCCCGCGGATGCCGAGCCCCTGAGCGCCCCGTGCCTGAGGTCGGGAAGGCCACTTCTCAGGAGACTGAACGACAGGGGGCGGAGCCGCCTCTGCCAGGAGGGACGCATGTGTTCGTTCGCTCCCTCTTGGAGACTCCGCACCAAGGAGGAAAAAGCCACTTCTTCTGCCTCACCCCCGCCCCACAAGCAGCTCACCTGTAAAGGCATCTGACACCTGAATCAGAGCCAGAATTCAGACATATGGGAACTAAGCTGCAGGGACAGAAGGGGAAAGAAGGAGCCAAAGGGGGCCACCTGACAACCACCTGGACCTGCCCTGACAGAGCCCTGGCCACCTGTGGAGGAAGGACTCCAGGTGCAGGCAGCTCCACTTTCATGCCCAGCCCCACCCTAGGGAGAGGCCCGTGGACCTAGGAAAGGTGAAGCTGGCCCACACTCCTGAGGAAAGACCTGCCTCAGGGGTCCTGGCCCAACCTTGCCTGCCAGGCAGCATTGGGAAAGGTCCAGAGCTGGCGATCTGGCTGCACATTAGCATCCCCTGGGCAGCTTAAAAAAAACCCAAAAGCTATGCCAGGGCCCTCCACAACACTACTGATCCAATCTACCGCCTGGCTGAGAACCTTGGTGCAGGAAACTCCTCAGCCTGATGGAGAAGGGAAGGGCAGGCAAGTCTTCAGGCTGCCCACAGCCTGAGACACCAGCACCCTGGGGGAGGGGCTCCTCCCCCAGCCCCATACACATGCTATTCCACCAGTGCTGGCCAGTTCCAGGACATTCTGTACTGAGGGTACGCCTTCCTCATTCCTCACACTCCTGGAGTGAAGGGAACCTGGTACCAGCCTGCCTCTTCTGCTCCCTCTCCTCTGCCAGCCTCACGCTGCCCCTGCAGGGAGAAGTGGAGGAAGCAGAGTGGAACCAGAGACGGGTTTAGCAGTAGAGGGAGACATCAAAGCAGTCCAGCCCTTGAGTAAATACATTTTATTCAGAACAAGGTAATAAAATAGCGTGCAATTTATTTAAAACCAACAAAGCACTGATAAAAATATATATCACTACAGCTGTGATTCCACATCATACCTTAACAAGTAAGAATTGAGCACTTATTCTTCACATCATGTGCCAGGCCTGGCAGAGAAGGACACCCACCTCCACCAGAGCCTCAAAGGAACAAGTAACCCTTAACCGCCAAAAACAAATGCTCATGTGGAGAGGGGTCAGCTGGCAGGTTCAGCCTGCTCCCCACAGAGCATGGGAAGGGAGAAGGGCTGCCCTGTGCTCCTCCCAGGCCGCCGGGGTGGGCACTAATCAGCAACTCCTCCTCGGTGGCAGGAAGTAGAGGGACAGGGCTAGAGAACAGCTTGCAACTGTGTAGACAAGGAAGTGGGTCCTCCTTGCAGGCTTCCACCGGGCATGTGATGGCCACTGCAGGGGCCTACTTGCAGGCATAAGCTTACTTGCAGCAGCCATCTTTTGCTCTAGCTGAAGGGGAATCAAGATTCTGAGCCACTGCTCTCTTCTTGACACAAAGCAGCCACAGTGCACTTTCCTGCATACAGTATGGCAGTGGGCAAGCAGGGGGCCCTGCTGGCTCGGATTAAGGCACTTTTAACAGACTTAAGGTACATCCTCTCCTCCAACCCCACAGGTCTAAGGGATCCCGTTTCCTTCCTCCCTTAGCCTCAGGTCCCATGTCCCCTGTCACTTCCCCACTGCTGGCAATGAAAAGGACAGAGGCATGCTTTGAGGGACTGTGGTTTGGTGGGAGTCCAGGGCTGGAAAGAAGAGAAAAACCAGAAGCGAGCTGGAGACTCACCAAGGAGGAGCTACAGAAGGACAGGAGTACAAGAGCATTAGGAAGAAGCCAAGGCAGCAGCAGAGGGGAGCAAGGTCAGCCACAGAGACTGATGGCAGTGAGGTTTGCTGAGAGCAGATGCAGAAGCCAGAGGGGAGGCCTCTCCAACCTGCCCTGGCTACGACAGGCTGGTAGCAAAGAAAGGGTGATGAGAGCCAACCCCAGGGACAGAACCTCAGAGGACAGGGCCCCTGAGGACCAGCAGAGGGAAAAGCTGGGGAGACTGGGGCAGAGATCCAGGTTCTGAAGGTTCAGATGGCAAGAGAAGGGCAAGGGGCTGGAAGGAGGGCTGTGCGATCCAGAAGCAGCTCAGCTCTTTGGTATGATGAAGGCGGTGTGGGGAGCATCCTTCTCACTCCTCCTCCATGCTCCGGGGCCCCTTGGCCGCCCGCCTCTGTCGCCAGCGCAGCTCCTCCACCTGGCGCTCCAGCCCTCGCACCTTGGCCTCCAGTTGGGCCCCCGAGGCCCGAGTGCCAGTGAGCCGGCTCAGCAAGGCATAGAGGGTCAGCAAGGCCAGGAGTAGCAAGGCCCGGGTGGAAGGATCAGGCACCGACCTCACCAGGGCCACAAAGCCGGCCAAGAAGATGATAAGCTTCAGGCTCCACAGGATCCGCCCCAGCAAGGCCAAGACTAAGCCGAGGAGCAGGGACAGCAGCCAGTACATGACCAGGGCCCCTGCTCCCCACAGCAGGAAGGTCTGTACCTGGCCAGGGCTGAGCTTGAAGCCCTCAGTGAGGTGATCACCTAGAAGTGGGGAGAGTCACAGAGTCAGCCAACCTGGAGAAGTTGGTGAGGAGAAAGGGGGACAAGAGCCAAAAAAGTGGGAGGTGCTAACCCCCTTGCAAAGGCATAATCCAGCTTCATAGACCCAAAGAAACACAGATTTGAATCTCAGCTCTGTTGCTTGCTGGCTTTTGGACCTTGGGTTGAGCCTCGGTTTCATTTGTTAAATGGGAACAATTCTACCTATGTCACTGGGCAGTGGTTAACAGTTAAATGAGATGTCACATCTTAGCATGATGCCTGGCATGAAGTAAACACCTGGTATGTGGTGGTGGTGGTGGTCATCAGCCTGCTCTTATGCCACACCTCTGGGGAAGCCTGGGAAGTGCTGAGCAGCTGGGGAGCAGTCTAGACTCCGACAGAAACTCTCACATACAGGGAGGTACAGGCGAAGCTCCAGTTAACTAACCAGTCCTAGCCACTCACCATCTAGCCCCAAGGCATTCAGCAGCTGAGCAGTGATCCCAGATAGAGCAAAGAAGGCCACAGAGATGGCTGACGAGATGGCCCACATCACCTGATATGAGGTCTGAGGAAAGAGCACAGGCTGAGATGAGTCCACAGTTAATGGAGATCTTTGGCTCCAAGCAGATCACCACTGCCCAGGCAAGGCCCACCGGAATGTCTCTGACCTGTCTCTCAGCCAGTATTGATGGGCCCAGGTCAGAGGTTTGGGGGCCCTGGGCCTGGCTGAGGGCACCCTTCCACATCTACCTTCCAGTGCACAGGGATGAACAGGAAATAGGCTATTTCTCCTTTGAAAACTGGAAACCAGGACATCTGGGACTGAATTCAACTGAATTGCTGGGATACTCTGGAGGCGGTAGTAGATGTACTTGTGTGCGAATGGGGGGATCACCAAACCCCATCAGTAATCACCCTATAAAACTTTAGTCCTCCTAGCCTCCTGGGGAATCACAAAGGTATGTGAAAAAACATCTGCAAAGGGCTAAGACATTTCAATGAAAAAGGAGTCTATCAGATATACTATATTATGGATTTTATAAATGATCATCTCAGCCTTTCAGTGCGATCTGTCAAAAGTACCTGACACCAGGCTTGAGATGCCATTAGGTATAAGAGATAACCTGTCTTAAGCCCCTAATCAGTCCCACGCCCCCCTCTACAGGTGAAAGAATGGATTCAGGTCTTGATATTTTGCCAGTTCAAGACTCTAGGTCAGATTTAGACCAAAGTCAGACTCTATAGTCACCCAGTGATATGGGTTTATAAAGATGACTCATATCTCAGCCTTTCTGGCAAAGAAAGGGCAGGAGCCAGGGAAAGAGGGAGGTGGAGCTATAAAAGGCCCTGGGGTAGGAATGAAACAATGAGGAAGCAAAAGGAAGGTACTGTCTGGCTTTGGGGGGAACTTGGGGCTCTCTGCACCAGGGATTATGCCACAGGGACGATGTGGAGCCAAGGTGGGGTTGCCATTAATATCTCTTCTTTTACCTTTCCTGAATGTGCACAGCAGGGATTACCTTCCTTACCTCTGAAACCAGGTGTGTGGTCTCTGGCCCAAGCCAGTCATCCAGTGTCCTCCGCACAGATCGACCTATCTGGGTCAAAAGATCAACTGAGGCCTCTCTCTTCTGCTGGCCTGGTGGTGCAAAGTCTCGATGGGGCTGGGATGATGCTGAGTGGAGTAGGACGAGGACCAGCAGGACCATCAGGAAGGCTCTGAACAGATGCTTGCTCCACGGTAGACTGCTGCCTGAGCCTGCCATGACTGGGAGAGAAGCACAGGGTGAGCTGAGGGCCAGAACTGGTAGACTCACCCACTCCTCTAGCTCTATTTGCCCCAACCTACTCCTCCACCCCTACCCCCCAGCAAGCACCCAAGCTAAAGCTAGAAAGAAAGAGCTGTTAACTGAGAAAAGAAGAACTGGGACTTCCAACTTAAGCTGAGCACAACCATCTGACTCATGGGTTCCTCTTTCACATCTTTACCACTTGCATATTAATTAACCAGCGAGTATTATTCAGTGCCTATAGTGGCTGCTTACTGGAGTCACCTGGAAGCTTCACAGAGTACTGATGTCTGTGTCCCAAGCCCAGAGGTTCTGATGTCATTGTCTGGATGTGGCCTAGGCTTAGAGCTGCAAAAGTTCCACAGGTGATTCCACTGTACAAAGTTGGGAACCACTGATGAATGGCAAAACTTGAGGAAAGATATTCTTATTAACAAAAATCAACATTTAGTTAGGTCTTGCATGTACCTCCTATCTCATTTAATCCTCAAGACAGCCTATCAGGTAGGTATTGCTATTATCCCCTATTTACTAATAAAGAAACTGAGGAAGGACAAGCAGTAAGTAGGGAAACTGGGATTTAAATCCAAGTACATCTGACATCGGACCTCTCACGCACAACTACTCTGCTGTACTGTCTCCTACTTAAGTCTCAGAAGTCATTTTAGAAAGTCACACAACAGATTATTCATGAGCTAAAATAAACTTGGCATCTACCAATCACGTCAGTGAGTTACTGGTAAATATTCACCTAGCCTCTTTGTGCTCTGATCTTGTATGTGACATGATGCCATAGACAATTTAAGACCCAACAAGTATCTACTCATTGAAGCAGGTGAGGATCAGCCAAGAAAAATGTTTGCAAGTCCATCTTCTTTTTGCCACCATGCTCGAGAAATGTCAAATAGCACCAGCAAATCCCTTGTTCTCCTCCAGGCTCAGAAATGAACCTGTAGCTCCAGGGAACTTCAATGGATTCAGACCCGATGATCAAAGGCTAAGCCATGCTGCTGAGGTAGAAGCAGCCAGGTTTTGAAGTTTTTGCAGTTACCAAGGCACTTAGGGAGGTGGCCAGAAATCCGGAGCCATAGAGATGGAGAAGAGGGAAGAAAAGGATATTCCCGGGCCGGCCCGGTGGCGCACTGCTACAGTGCGCCGCATGGGAGTGCGGCGGCGCTCCCGCCGAGGGTTCGGATCCCACATACAGACCGGTTCCCGCTCACTGGCTGAGCGAGGTGCGGGCGCAGCACCGAGGGTTTCGATCCTCGGGGCCCAGCCTCCCGCAGGCAGGGTGTCGGTGGCATGTGCTATTTCGAACAGCGCGTCCCGTGCCAAGCGGTGCAGAGTGGCGTCGCCGGCAAGAGACGTGGCGCAGCCCGTGAGTTCGAGGTACCCCGAGGGGCTCGAACTGAGGCCGCGGGAGGTTGGGCGGTGAGAAGGGAGGCGGGGGCGACAGCTCAGCGCTGGCCTCGTCCCCCAGCCTGGCAGCCGATCTGCCACCTCAAGACCTCGGAGCCGCGCTCTAACCCTCCTCTCCCCGGAAACGCACGCCTCCCGGGTTACCTAGTAACGACGCCCCCGGTTGCATAGCAACGAGGATCCAAGGTCTCCAGTTTGTTTCTCCCGCCACGCGACGACGGACCCCTCCCCACTCGGGCTCTCCAGGCCTTGCGTCTCCACCCTGGACCCTCCTGCAGCAGCTGCCTCCTCCCTGTTCTACGTGTTGCCCCCCAGCCCCGGTCTAGGCCCGCACTCACCCGGCTCCAGCCACCGCTATCCTTCACGTGCGACTCCGCTGAACCGCGCACCAAACCCGCGCCTCAACTAATAATTATTCTATATATGAAATTATAATAATTTCTGTGTGGTGCTTTATAATTTAGGAAATGCTTGTTACTTCAACATCTCATTTAACTCCTACAACAATCTTTTAAGGTATTACTACTCTCTCCATTTTACTCAGAAAAGTATGGCTTAGAGAGGAAGTGATTTATCCAAGATCGCACAGCAGCACTGGGACTTGACTGTAAAACACAAGATCTCAGTCTTGCCCTTTTGCTCGTTCCACATCCCTACACTATCTCAGTAAGACACGATCCTGCCCACAAGTAGCTTAAAGTTTTGCCAAATATCAACAAGCTCAAAGTGGGAGGACCTCCAGGCTCAAGACCTGACACTTTCATTCTGGCAGCTGCAATATGGCTCAGGCAGGGCCAGGACCTGGTAGTGAGAAGTTTAGCTGTGGTTTATTATGGTAATGACAAGTTTAGCTGTGGTTTCCTACAAAAGTGTAGGGTGGGGCAGTCCTCATATCCCCTGCCAAGGCCCCTTCCTCCTATCTTTCCTTTGGTTAGTTTCCTTTCATGCTCTATGAATCACTACGTGGCAGGAGGGACAGCTGGCTTAGTGCCCTCTGCCGGCCCTGACTGTCCTATCACAAAAGCTCACAGTTGCCCCTACGGAGCAGAGGTTCTCAACTCTGGCTGCCTATCAGAACTGCCTGTGCAGCCTGTTAAACAAGGATGTCTGCCCCACCCAGGGATACTCACTCATACTTTCCCAGAGAGGGGCCCAGACTTTTGTTTTTAAAGCTCCACAGAGATTTCTGATGCATAACCAGACACAACTGCCACAAATGATCAGCAGCGCAAGGAAGAGTCTATTCTAGGCAAAGGCTCAAAAGTGTAGCAGTGTACCAAGGACCCTAGACTTCCGTCCCAGGCTCAGTTATACCACAAACTAGAAGCCACTACCTTTATGCCTGTTATTTAACCTGAGTTTTAGTCTTCTCAAATATAAAAGGGAGTTGTTATGTTTATTTATTTTTTTTTTGGAAAGATGACCGGTAGAGGGATCTTAACCCTTGACTTGGTGTTGTCAGCACCATGCTCTCCCAGGTGAGCTAACCGGCCNTTCCCATTCCTGTTTAGTGAGAAGGAAGTCCAAGAAAGGGTTCTATAGATACTACATTTTGGGTACTTTCTGGCCCAGAAACAGCTACTCTAAGCCCCATCAAGGGTCAAGGCCTGTAGGGTCAAGTAGGGCTGCAAAGCATGCAATTCATGTGGAAGGATCTCAGGCTGAGAAAGCCTTCTACTCTTTTTGGCACAAATCCAGAACTAGATGGTTCCTGCCTGCCAGTGGTCAGAGTCGAGGAAAGCAAGGGTCAGTTCCTAAGCTACCTGGGTCATAATGCTGGGGAATGAAAGAGCAGGGTTGCTATCTTGGGTTGGATCCTACATCCAAGGACCTCCACCAGGAAGGATCAGATATCATCTCCTCCATCCTAGAAGGTCAAGGTGACGTGAGCTACTCTTCTCAGGGCAGTCTGGTGCATTCTGTGCCAGACTCAACTTTCAAGTGGCCATTTGCCCCAGTTTAGGGGAGCTGGAGGACCTTGAAATAAACCCTCCACAGTGAGGCTGGAATCGCCCCGCCAGCTTATCTTCAGAAGTGCACCTGAAACCAAATTTAACAGGATTCTGGAGTATACCCTTAGGAAATAACAGGTGCAGATGACTGGCTGGTCTGTTTCTTCAAATCGTTTTCTTTAATAGGATCCCTTCTCATTTCTTCCAAGTTAATCCCAAACAGTACGAATCCTTACTCACTTCGGCTTAATCAAATACTTTTAATAAAGAAAGAGGCCACGGTAATCAAGAGCCGAAGCAGTCTTGGCCTTTGAAAGGAGGAGGCATGTCTGAAACTTTTTCACCTCCTGCAATGCCTAGCCTCAGACAAATAGTAGGCACTCAACAACAAAAAGAAATAATAATTATTCTATATATGAAATTATAATAATTTCTGTGTGGTGCTTTATAATTTAGGAAATGCTTGTTACTTCAACATCTCATTTAACTCCTACAACAATCTTTTAAGGTATTACTACTCTCTCCATTTTACTCAGAAAAGTATGGCTTAGAGAGGAAGTGATTTATCCAAGATCGCACAGCAGCACTGGGACTTGACTGTAAAACACAAGATCTCAGTCTTGCCCTTTTGCTCGTTCCACATCCCTACACTATCTCAGTAAGACA